AAAAACATTATTTATAATACAAGTGGTATAAGAAGATGGTAAAACTCATGAAGGCACAAAATATGTCTGAATTTTGGAAATGTTGTACTATGAAAATTCTTTCACTGCATACCCTGAAACAAAATTCTTCCTTTAACAGTTGTCTTAATACTCTGTGATTCTCTAAAAACATGGTAATTTACAACTATATTTATTCAAACAACCTTCATGATATAACAAAGTAACTAAAACTTTTCACTATTTTCAGTACTAATCTTAGAAATATTAATTTTCTATACAATATTTCAAACTGAAATCAATATCAATGGACTCAAAACTTACACTGTTTTCTAAAACAGAATAGGCAATTCATAAATGTAAAAATGAAATGCACATTGTATTTAAAATGCATAATTAAGAAAACCCATTGGTGTAGTGTTTTTCTTATATACTAATAATTAAGGTCCTACTACTGGTACTGTTGGTTTTCTATTTTAACACAGAAGAAGTGAAAGTATTTCCTATATTTATAAATTTACAAAAATATTGGCAATAAAAAAGAAAAAATTATCTAAAATCCATGAGTGAAAATTGTTTATCTATTATTTTTTTACTCCCCATCCTTAAGTTGGGCACCAACTGTGTGCCCTAAGTTGCTTAAGGGGATTTCATTATTATATAAAAATCAATAAAATAAAAATGGAGTAGTTGAAAATACAAAACATTGTACAGAGGAGAGATATTGAATAGCACCTGTCTTCCTTCACTTTTTTTGGTCCCCTAATAACTAGTCTACTTTTTAAAATTTCATACTTCACCACTCTTAGAATTAATAATTCCAATTTTCACTTTATTGTTATTGGAAAACCAAATCTAATAAATGTTTTCATTATTCCCATGACACAATGAAAAATTTTTAAATGTTAAATTTTCAATAGCCACAACTATAAAAATCATATTTGTAAGCCTCATATAACCAATTTTTTCTCACAAATACTAATAAAAATTGATATATGTCCTCCCATAACCAATCTTTTCTCTAATAGTCTTACATCCAACAAGAATTTATTGATGGCCTACTATGGAACAGGCACTGCAGTTGATACAAATTTGAAAGTAAATTTGCAAGTTATCACCTGAAGGATCTGTTGCTACCTAAATTTTTAAACATTAAAAGAGAATGTCTTTACCATCCTGTTCCTTAAAAATATATATGTATTTTAGTATGACTAAAGCCCCAACTATTGCCTACGCTACACATGCATACACAGAAAATCTAGACACACAAACCAGATAGGATTTACATTTAAATTTTCTTTAGTACAGTCTGTCTCATATTCAGTATTTGGTGCTGTCTCAAATATATTCTGAAAATCCTCAGGAATCTTAATGAAGCCTAAAGATAATCTTGTGATGATTTTGTGAAAAGTCCGCCTACCCCTGTCTTAAGGCACCGCATGGAAAGCATATTCTTCGTGGCATAAAGTATGGGGCTCTCTGGGGGAAATGACGCTACCCACAGTATACTACTGGAGGCATTTTTACGGCCTAATGAGAAGCCTGACCTTTTCTTCTCTTTCCAGATCCTTAGGCCAACTTTATATTTGAATAATCAGATAATAAGTGACATCTAACATGTATAAGAAACGTTAAACTTGTCCCCTGAAAGCATTTCCTCAGATTTCAAAGTCTAAGAAAGAAAAACAATCAGCATAAAGAGATTCTCTTCCTACCTCTTGAGTGTGTTCTTTATAGACTTGTAGTGGCCCTGCAGCTTTGGCAGTGTCCCAGAGCTGCATCGAGCCATCACCACTACAGGTGACAAGGACATGTTCATTGTTCTCACTCCAAGTCACGTCAAACAAGCCATCGTTCCAGTCAAAGCTATACCAGGATGAACAAAATCAAACAAAAATTTACACAGGAAGCTGAACAAAAATAGTAATTTAAAAATTATGAGTATTTTTCCTTAATTTATCTTTGTGTGCGTGTGTGTGTGATGGTAGTGCTGGGCCTGGTGCATATTTAGGAAAGCATTCTACCAGTAAGCTATATCACCAGCACCAGTTTATCACATATTTTAACATACATTGTCTCTTATGATCTTCACAATATGGGAGAAGATAAGTTAAGCAGGTACTTGACAGAGGAAACAAGTTCAGAAAGGCTAGAAGAATACCCCAGGTCATATACGTAGAAACGGAAAAGCTGAATTAAAATTAGGTCTCCTGACTACTAATATGGAACTACTTACACAGGAGTATTCTACCATACATGGGTTCTAATTTTTGTGACTCATAGGATAGCCCAGCAAGCATAGCAAAGTATGAATGTAACTTTTATGTATGTATCAAAGTATGAAATTAACTTTTCCCATAAATCTTTCACCTAAGTCAGGCATGGTAGCTCATGCCTATAATCCCAGTAAGGCTAAGGCAGGAGGACTGCAAATTCAAGGCCAGCCTCAGCAACTTAGCAAGGTACTAACCTTAAGCAATTTAGTGAGAATCTGGATATATATATATATATATATATATATATATATATATATATATATATAGAGAGAGAGAGAGAGAGAGAGAGAGAGAGAGAGAGAGAGAGAGAGAAAAGAGAGGAAGGAGGGAGGGAGGGGGAGCGCAAGCAAGCTGGGGATGTAACTCAGGAGTAAAGCATCCCTGGTTTCAATCCCCAGTACAAAAAAAAAAAAAAAAAAAAATCCCCCTAAGCAGGAAACAGTTAAACAGTTATTTTCTGAGAGAATTTCCCTTTTTTCCCTCCCCCCTTTGACTAACCCTAATGGAAGTATTAGTGAGCCCAAAAGTCCAAGAGGCAAGACAGGCATGGAAGGAAAAGAAGAAAGACACAGGATAATCCACAAGATGGGTAATTAGCTCCTGCATTAGGAAAGTTACACTATATTAAGACAGGAAAGACAAGCAATGACATACCTTATACTAATTATTTCACTTTTTAAGTTTAAATTTTATAATTTATAAATGGATACTGAAGAATAAGTTTTAGAAGTAATGTGGCATAGTTATAACTTAATGGCAAAAACAATTTCTATACTATGCAAATGCTAAAGTTCCTTTTGTAATGCAAATTAAAACATCTCTCCTTGGTCAAAAAGATTCAAATCCTAATTCTATTAAGACTTTAATAAAACAGAGAATACATGTTTAATAATTAAAGCCATCTTACCTTCTAAAAATTCTAAGACCAGATTCACTGTGATCCAATATCAGTAGGGTTCCACAACCTAAAGATAAAAATGTCAAGGTCACACTGCCAGGTAAACATCTAGATCAAGGAAGTATCAAATACTGGGTACCTGATTTTACTACCACAGATTTCTTCCTGAAGTTATTAGGACCATGTATACGAAAAGATTAGAATTGTGCTATTAGTTTTTCATATTGTGCTTCAATCATTAAATATTCAAATTACCATCTCACCTGTGATTAAAATCCAGACACAGCACTAATAAAGAGAAGAGAGATTTGAATACCTACTCTGATAAGGCAAGGTGCTAGGCACACAAAACTTCCAAGCTGGGGTTATCATCCCTATTGACAGATGAGAAACCTCAGGCTTACAGATCCCTCATGACTATGATCCTTGTACTAAATCACCCTGCCTTGCCAATATAAAATACATCCAACATGGGATTCTAAGACAAAATATGAATGTGGAAACATCAAATATTTGGTGAAAAAGTTATAATATTAATAATATCAGTTGTTTACCAGCAATGAATTATTTTACTAAAGAACTAATGTATTTTTTTCTTTGGGGCACTGGTGATTGAATCCAGGGGTGTTCTGTTACTAAGCTACATCCCAAGCCCTTTTTCATTATTATTTTAAAATTTTGAGACAGGATCTGCTTAGTTGCCCGAGTTGGCCTCCAACTTACAATCCTTCTGCCTCAGCCTCTCCAGTAACTGGGATTTCAGTCATATGCCACTGTGTAAAGCAAGAACATATTTTAAAAAGCTATATATGGGCTGGGGTTGTGGCTCAGCGGTAGAGCACTCACCTTGCCTGTGCGAGACCCTGGGTTCGATCCTCAGCACCACATAAATATATATGAATAAAATAAGGGTATTGTGTCCAACTACAACTAAAAAATAAATATTTAATTTAAAAAGTTATATTTATCTTTACAGAAATCAAGGCAGAAAGAAAGCTCTTCATTAAACATGGTTGATTAAAAAAAAATACCAAGTCCTTTAAAAGAAGTTTTTGGAAAAGATTTAAAGCAATATTTCAGACTTTTTAATCTCGAACCTAACTGGTGGGCAAGGACTGTAAACATGACATGCCAGACTAAGAGCTAATGATAAAGATATATATAAGGAGGGGCTGGGGATGTGGGTCAGTGGTAGAGTGCTTGCCTACTATGCACAAGACCCTGGGTTCAATCCCCAGCACTGCAAATATATATATATGTGTGTGTGTGCAGTCCTGGGGAGGTGTGTGTGTGTGTGTGTGTGTCAGGCAGCACTGGAGACAGGTGCGGTCCTGGGGGAGGTGTGTGTGTGTGTGTGTGTGTGTGTGTGTGTGTGTGTGTGTGTGTGAGGCAGCACTGGAGACAGTGCGGTCCTGGGGAACTTGGGCTTGCCTACTATGCCACTTCCACACTGGAACTGGCAAAGGTGACCACCGCCAGACCAGCTCCCCACGCTTTGCAAGCGAGGAGAGCGGAGCCGGCGGGCTGCTCTGCTTCCCCCTGGCGTTGGCTGGTGGCAGCTTCTACCCTCGGAGGCACTTTCCCAGGAGCGGGAGAAGCCAGCGCTCTACTGGCGCCCGCCCTCCCCCGGGCTCACCCGCGATGCCGTAGTGCTGCGCGGCGGCGCAGGCCAGGCGGCCCGGCAGGTACGGGGAGAACTCCGCGGCGTAGCCGTGACGGCCCGGCACCCGCAGCGTCCGCGCCGCGCTCATCCCTCCCGCCTTGCCGACCCGGCCGCGGAAGCAGTCGCCAGTCGGAGGTGCACGGAGGCGACTCCCTGACAGAAGTTACCGGTCCAGGAAGAGCAGGCGGAAGTGACAAGGCCGGAGCCCCGGATCCTAGATTCCGATTGGTCTGCAACAGAAAGGGCGTTGACTCCGGCGAAGACCATTTTTGTTTTGGGTAAAACAAAACTGATCTGCTCCAGCTGAGACGATTTACAAGTAACTAGGGAGGGATCTAGAGTTAAATAGTATGATTTCAGACAATTGTTGATCTCAGCCTCCACTGAGAAGCTGTTTTTTTTTTAAATTAAGTCTTTGAACTTTAGATTGGCATCAGAAATTTTTCTGATGATTACAGAATGAGACAAGCTACAGCACTCTGAAACCACTTAGCGAGTTCAAAAGGCAATCTCAAGGGAAGTTGAGTCAATATTTAAGTCAAGCGCCAGGTAAAGCAAAGGGAAAAAGATGTTATCGTGAGCAACTATTTTTATACGTAGAGATGTATAGATATCTCTATATAGATATCCTTGGGCTATTCAGGAAAACTAGGGTTTATGAATTCATTCTGGTCATTTTCCTCTACATTTTCTTGCATTGTCTCACACATGAGATTTTGAGGGACATCTAATATCTAAACCATTACAGCATGCTTAAAATGCAGAAAGTAACACTGAACTTAACAGTTTAGATGTAGATTCTCTGGTCATTGAACATATTCAGGTGAACAAAGCACCTAAAATGTGCCATAACCCTTAACAGAGCTCATGATTGGATTGACCTATACATGAGTTCCCCTGCCACATTGAGATGACCCTCATTTACAAGGAATAAATTGTTCCTCAACAGAAAGAATGGTGCACAGAAGGAAAAATATCCCAGAAGGAACTGAAGAAACAAGAACTTAAAGCACAGGAATGAATTCAGAAAAAAAAAAAAAAGAATGCAAATTTAAAATTTTTTGAAAAGTAGGAAAAGAAATGGAGCCTTTCTTTATTTTCTTCAAGAAAATTAAACATTCATCTTCCCAGGCCATTCTATGTGTGTGTGTGTGTGTGTGTGTGTGTGTGTGTGGTGTTGAAGTTGTTTTGTTTTTTGTTTTGTTATGGGTTTTTTGTTTGTTTGGCTTTTGCTTGCTTAACAAACAAAAAACAAAGTGCTGGTTGAAACCCACCGCCAAGCTATTTGAAAATGGAATGCCCTGTGTATGGGGCTTTCTGGCACTTACAAGAACCACGTTGGAATCTGACACTAGAATATAAAGTCCACCAAGGCAGAATCAGAGTTTTGTTTACTCTCCTGCCTAAAACAGTGCCTGTCAAAGGGTGAAAGTCTCTAATCTTCAGATAGCTCCCTGTGTGAGGCTGAATGGGCCTGTGAATGTGCATGCAGTTCTATGCCATGCTTAGACACAGGCAGAGTCAAAGCTTCGTTGAGAAGATGGATTCCCACATATTTAAGGGCCCCACAAAACCATTTCTGCCAGCAAGCAGGGCTACATTGCTGTCACTTCCCCATGCTTAGAACTGTCCCCTCTCAGCCTCTTCTTTGCTGCCATCACAAGGGTATCTCCTGCCTCACTCCCCAAGGACATATCGAAACCCTGTTTAGTGAGTTTAGGTTTTTCACTAAAGGTTTTGAGCAGCTTCTGTGTCTGTCCTTCGAGTCCCCAGAGGCCAGGGAATCACAAAGGGTCTAGCTATCTAATTGGAATGGAGAAAGGGAAAAAAACTACAGCAAAATACAAATTGACATGTAAATAAAGTGTCCTGCCATGCTGTTAATAAACAATAATAAATGACATCAATAAATCATTAATTCATAACAACTGACAGTAATAATATAGACATGAAGAGGCAGATGGACTGGTATATAGGCCACCTCACCCACCCAAACCTCAGGAGCTCCAAATTCTTACCCTCCCCTGTGAACCTGAGATGGGACATGTGTCTCACCAACCAAGAAATTCCTCATATTTCAGATTCCCTACCTCAGAATCTTATTGGGTGACTTTTATAATACACATTCTTAGGGCACACCATAGGCCTATTCATTCAAAATCCCAAGGGGTGGGATTGGAATTCTGCATGTTAACAAGCTCTATTGGGTGATTCTCATGGTGGCCAAAGCAGAGACATAAAAACAGATGGGGGAGAAGTACTCAGCCCTGGCAGAGACTTGGGCAATGGAAGCAGACACTGGTGGTGCAGGGACAACATGCTCCATGCAAAGGAACTAGGGTTTTTGTTTGTTTATTTGCTTTGTTGTTGTTTATAGGACCTAAATTTGTCTTGGGGGGAACTAAATCCAGGTTCTCACACATGCTAAGCAAGCACTTTATCACTGAGCTACATCTCTGGCCCCAAGATAGGATTCTCACTTAATAAGTTCAAAGAGGGGTATCATTTGTGCAAATGTTTTTTTCTACCGTAATTGAAGGCCTAAGAATTGCATGGCACTCGCTGGGCACAATGGTGCATGCCTGTAATCACAGCTGCTTGAGAGGCTGAGGTAGGAGGATCCCAAGTCCAGTGCCAGCCTGGGCAACTTAATGGGACCCTGTCTCAAAATGATAAGGGCTAGGGGTATAGCTAAGCAGTAGAGTGCTTGCCTAGCATGGTCGAGGTCCTGGGTTCAGTCCATAGTACAAAAAAAAAAAAAAAACAAGAACAAGAAGGGAAAGAGACCACGGCAACCAAATTACTCATGGCAGCAGCATGATTACGAGTACAGGCTTCAGAGCCAGGAGGCTCATGTTCAATTCTTGCCATCAACTTTGTAAATTAAGACCAAGAATTGCTTCTTAGCTATTAGCCTATAAATATACAGAATATAATATTTCATCTATCCTAGGAGTTTATATTCAAAGGAAACGTTTTGTTTGTCTAGGACCTATGCACTGGATGTCACTTCACTTCCATCCCCTATGTGTTCTTTTCAGAGGTGATTCAAAGTGGCTATGGGTTTATGGGCCTATGAATCAGTGTCAACATGAAAACTGTGTTTATTCAGTTTTGCAGACACTGGCAAGATAAATTTCAATTTTATAATTTATATTGTCCTTACTAGATAAAGGCACAGTGGAAGCAGTCATATTCTTTGAAAAAATCAAAGAGCCAAATAGCTAACCCACCATGAGTACCTGCCATGCCCAAACTGTCCTTCTAGGAGGAGCCAATACACAAGAAAGGCTTGGGGAGAATGCACTTCCCCATGGTATGGGCATTGGGTTTAATGTTTCAATTACAATAAAATCTTCAACATTAATTGGAATTAAATACTGATAAGCCTAAAAGGTGTTCATACTTCCATTGCTGGTAGGACTGTAAATTTGTGCAACCACTCTGGAAAGCAGTGTAGAGATTCCTCAGAAAACCTGGAATGGAACCAGCATTTGACCTAGTTATTCCACTCCTCAGCATGTACCCAAAGGACTTAAAATCAGCATACTATAGTGATGCAACCACATCAATGTTTATAGCAGCTCAATTCACATTAGCTAAGCTATGGAACCAAACTAGGTACCCTTCAATAGATGAATGGATAAAGAAAATGTGGTACATATATGCAATGGAACAATGGAATAGTACTCAGTCATAAAGAATGAAATTATGATATTTGCCAGTAAATGGATGGACTGGATACTATCATGCTAAATAAGCCAATCCCAAAACCCAAAGGCCAGATATTCTTTCTGCTATGTGGATGCTAACCAACAATAGAATTGGGGAAGATTTGTGGAATTGGACAAGGCAGAGTTGGGGGGAAGGATGTGGGCATGGGAATAGGAAAGATAGTACAATGAATCGGATGTAACTTTCCTATGTTAATATGTGAATACATGAGCAGTGTAATTGCACATCATGTACAATACAACCACAAGAATGGGATTTTAATTAGAATAAGTTATACTCCATGCATGTATAATGTCAAAATACATTCTACTGGCATGTATATCTAAAAACAACAAGTTAAAAAAAGGATTTCCTAGAAACTTGTAGCAATTCTTTTAAGACACTGATTTAGTTTTGTTTTTGAAAGAAAAAGGGCTTATGTAAAGAAAAATAAATCAAGATTTGATTATTCACCAAATACATGTCAGTGGATCAAATACTGTAGGAGAAAGATGAAAAAATATTTATATTTCAGTTTGAGATGGTAACATATAATAGCAAAGCCTGAAATTTCTGACTGTGCCATAAATTAAGGAAGTGCACAAAAGAATGACAAAGACTGTCAATATATACAGGTACCTGCTAGAGGGGGGTCTCCTTGGAGGAAATACAGACAACCAAGTATTGATAATTACAGACTGCAGCCTATTTAAAAAAAATAAAATTCTATAAGATTCTACTGAGATGAATAAATAATGGGACAGAAAACAGCTTTTCCTCATACTAGAATTCCTGTTAGTGAAGGTAGAAGAAATAATGAAATTACAAGGTAATCATTTGGTAATTACCATAGTCATAACTGTACTAGACGTTAAAACTAGTGGAAGCCTAAGAGACACAGGCATTATGTAGTCTTAACATGTCTCCATACAAGTTTCTAATAAGTTACAAAGGGGAAAAATAATAACTAGTATAATGAAGAAATCTGACAAACAGCACCTTCGCCAAGTGATCATATGTTACCACTGAAGGGACAAATCCACATCCCTTGCTGCTGAAGTATGACATATGCTGGGGAAAAACAGCTTCACTTCTGTGGTGTTCCCAGCCCTGCTGCATAACCTGAAGAATGCAGATGATGAAGAAATACTAGATAAACCCAAATTGAAGAACATTCTACAAAATAATCAGCCTGTTCTCTTAAAAAATATCAGAGTAATGAAAGATAAGACTAAGAAACTGTTGCCGATAAAAGCGCTCTAAAGACACATTACAACTAATGCAACAAGTGATCCTGAGTTAGATACTGCGCCAGAAAGATTTTTCTTTTGCTTCCAAGGACACCAGAGAGGACAACTGGCAAAAAAATCTATGTTAGTAGTTTTCTACCTATTTTAATTTCCTGATTTTGATCATCATATTTATTCATGTAAGGCAGCATTCTTGGTTTTAGGAAGTATGTACCATGTCAGCAATTTACTCTCAATCATATAAAAAGTTTAGATAGATAATGGATACAGAAAGCAAGTGTGATAAAATATTGACATTTGTGAATGTGTGAAGGGCATCAGAGACTTCTCTGAAAAAAAAAATTGGGAGCAACTTTTTTGTCTATAATTATTTAAAATAAAAAGTGTTTAAATTAAAAAAAAAGTCTGGTGCACCAAAACCAAACACTAATGGCACTTAATGTCCTTAAATAAACTGAAAAGTTTTAGAATTATACAAATATATGCTTTAAATCAAAATTGCTATTACTAAGATTGGCTATCCCAGAGAGAAAACTTTCAAAAAGCTAAAAAATAAATCTCCCCTCCTCCATCTCCTTAACAGGGATTTGCCTACAGATTTCTTCTGAAAGATTCTTTTGTTCCCTCCACATAGCATTTCGGGTGTTTTTTAATGCTGCCCCCTACGCAGAAAAGTATTGCCTTCCTGTCCCACAAGGGAACTCTCTGGCCTCTTTCCCATTCTCCACCAAGACTGACCACTTCCAGAAACTCTAACCATCTCTAAAACTTTATTTCCAAATTTGAAAAGAGCACATACCTATGATAGTTTGTAATCGCATTTCTTATTTTCTCCCATCTTTTGAGTAATGATACAGATCATCCCCTTTTTGTGGCAAATTTAATGAATAAAATATTTATAGGGAAACTGTTATTAAGGCAGTTTTGGAATGGAGAAAGCACTGAGTGTCAGATGTCCCTGTATTTGAGACTAGTCACTTTGCCATTTTGGTACTCTATTTTCTCTGTAAAATAAGTATGATATATTTTAATCTTTTTTTATCTCAATACTGTAACTCTAAAACTTGTTATAAATAAATGTCATGGTAATTAATGGTTAGTTTT